GGTAGAGCGGTCGGGGAATGAAGCTGACCACTCATCTCCAGATATTGCCGAGGTCAAGAAAATATGGATCTATACGTCCGCTCCCCCATAAGCATTCATGGCGTAGTGCTTAATTAGTTAAGCGCAGGTAAAGCTTTAACTTTTTTCTTCCAACACCCGGTATTCTAAAGAACAGGACGTTTCGGAAACTGGATCTGTTTCCATCCCCATGAGAAGCGGTGGGAGACACGTACTCTGTTGGGTCAATTAGAAGGAGCTAACCTCAGTCACTGTCAGCCACCTCACCTGAAAATGGAACCATTCAATTTCCGAAACGTCTTTAGAATATAGGACGACGGGAAAAATCCAACACACAGTAATCCCGAGTGTTGTTTACGCATTATCGTCAGAAAACTATATAATGTACTTGCTCTCTTCAGCACGTTAACTGCAAGCCTCACAGCCTACAGATTCTGGGATTCCTTTCGTAACTAACTGTCTTGCGTACTTCTTTGGATAGCTTTAATAAGGTCAAGAAACCGCCAGTCGCTCAGCTATTCAAGAATTTCCCAACATTTTGCGGAAACCGAAGGTTCACTTCCGTGTTCACAAGAGTACCCTACTGGTTCCTATCCTGAGCCATATCAATCCAGTCCACACCCCCACCCATCCCTCTAAGATTCATTGTAATACAGTATTATCCTACCTACGTCTACGCCTGGGAAGCGGCGTTCTGTACGCTATCCTTGCGATAGCTACGTGATGCAACAATAGAGGAACTGTTGGGAGAGGTGTTTTATGTGCGGTCCGTGCCAAGGCTAGATAAGGAGTCGATTGTGAGTTGTGAGTTTGGCAGTTGAAAGCCAGTTAGTTCATCTGGGGAGTTGCAGCGGAAAGGTGCCAGCCAGCGAGGACAGGAGCTGTTGGACATGGAAGCTGAAGACGCCACATTGTTGGAAGCCGCTACCAAGCAGAGAGTGAAGACCTTGACTGAGAACACTAGTCTTTGTGTGATAGTGATTTGTGAAGTGTAGTGACGCGTTGCTTAAGAGTTAAATAAATCAGATTACCAATCAAACCCATCTATAGCCACGCTCTAACACGTGACAATTGATACATAGATACAGACACAGAGCTGACATTCCAAAAGCCATTTTTGGTATTCAGTAGAGGGAGGGGACCTCTGAACGTGTAAGTTTCATCAGAATCGCGAGATTCATTTTGTCACTATCTTGCATATACTGCGCACGTGGGAAAGTAAACGTTCATTATACCGTCTGAAAGCTGTAGGAAATCCTGCGGTACTTAAGCCACTTTTCCATTAGTGTTTGTAGCGCGTCTTAGGGAAACATTGATGAGTCGGGTGGCTACATGGAAACAGCTGCAGTGAAAACAGTGGCTCGGTAAGGCGTGCCACAGACGCTCGCCGAAAAGACGACTTAGGCGCATGGAAATCACACACACGTACCCAGATGTTTCAGAGGTCTTGCCTCCAACCAGACACGGTTTTGTTCTCAGGAGGCAAAGGAAGATGTACCCACTTTAGATTATATATTTTCCTCTAGAATGTGACGCTGTATAGTCTGAAGAACGTTTCGGAGGAACCTACTGCCTCTATCATCAGGATAGAAAAGAAGTTAAGTTTGTTTTTTTTCTTTTTATAGGAGATTACTGCTTGAGAGTTGACATATTCCATATCGAAAAGCATCTCTGAGAGTACGTCATGCCTTGGGTAGGCGACCTTAAGGGGGGGGGGATCTTGTATGTTCAAATAGATTTCCAATGTGGCGGTTTTGTTGAAAGCAGAATGCTTTGACTTTCGAATGATGACGTGATATACGTGACTGTTGTGAGGTGATTTGTACGATGTTTTAAAGACTGAATACCAAACTATACGGCGGCATATCTCAGAGCCACTCTCATGAGATCTCCATCTTCATTTCGTTTCACCAGGGAGTTAGTAAGAACGCCTGTTATGTTTCATTCACTTTATTCTCACAGTCACAATGAGTACTACGTGTAAGGAGCGGGGTGCTTCCCCTGCACTAAGCTGTCCTCGCCCGGACGCACTGCCGCGCTGCTCGGATGACCGACACGGCAGTGGCGATGGCTTCGTCCTGCACCGCGATGGAACAGTCCTGGAACTGTGTGGCGACCTGGTCGGCGGCCGTCTGGAAGTCGCTGTCGGCTACATAACTGTCGCTGACGGCAGACACCTGCTTGTTGACCTGAGCGGCACACGAAGCCAAGCCTCTCAGCGCCAGGACACAGGACGTGAGGTTGCTCTTTGCTTCGACCATGAGATGGGCGGTCTTCTTGATGGTCTGCTCGATGTTGTTTCTGTAGGGTTGCAGCGCCGCGTCCGCCTGCCTGTAGCAGGTCTGCGCCCCCTCTCCTGTTGACAGTAATGTAACAGGCCTGTGTCAGATCTGAGGTTAACGTGGCGGTGATTACGATGCAACGTAGTCTTATAGAAGGTTGCAAATATTCCGGATGCATCTGCTGCTTCTGTGTTCAGAGTACACGAAGGTAAAACTTTTAGGTTCCTCCGAAGCTCTAGTGTATTGTGACAAGTCTCCACGGCGTCACTTCCCAGAATATAGTAATTTCTTTAAACCAAGATTTTCGTTGAGGTAAAAAGGTAAAGCTATCCATCTAATACGTTGAGGAGGTCCGTAGGGTTGTGAGACGTCGAAGCTCCCACATTTTCTAGACAATCGGCTCGCTGATGGTGGTGAGGTTGTCACCCTTATTCGTCGGACGCCCTTGACTCCCAAGGAAGATTCCTGGTACTGATTTCTGTGAGAGGCTGAGTCGACCCTAGGGTCACAGTTCAGCTAGAAAGATCCAGTGACCTCATCGGGAATCGAACCCGCAACCTTCTGCCTTGTATCATAGTGCCTTAACCAACTACGCTACGGCATGCTTGTCCGAAAATTCGGAAACTCTGTCGATGTCTACAAGATGAGGAGACCCAAGAGGATTCTCACCTGCTTTGTGTACCATGTCCGAAATATTCGGTTTACCCGCGTCGAAACATGGGGTCAAGTCAGCTGTTGCGTTCGCCGGAACAGCTTGGGAGATGGCCATGTTAATCTCCTTGACCAGTCCCTGAATGCCTTCTGGATTGGAACTCTTGTACATCAGTTTCTGAAGCAACTTCTCTGCCTTTTCCCCTGAGCCTGAGAGCACATTCTGCAAGTTGACTATCACGGTTTGGATGTCGGTCAGGGCAGTGCTCGATACGGTCTGGACGGCCGAGCCGAGGAAGCCGGAGCTTGCAACCTGAAAATCCATAGAGCGTAGATCTATTGGAATAGACACAAGTTACAACAAACACTTCTTCAACGCGGATACAATTATACGCGGTCCGCCAGACACGCTGTAATAGCATACGCAGACTGCTAGTATTAAAAAGCTTATTACTATATACCCCCTCGTTGGCGTCTCCACCTTATCGTGATGAGGGGGTTTGAGTATGCCAAGGACCCTGAGAGCTATACCAGCGGTAGCGTAGCTACTGGCAGGGCCTCTCTTGCTGGACAGGTCAAAGAGTAGGTATCAGACGAAGAGAGACACCAAAAACCAAGTCATCAGCAGTGACTTGAAGCACAGAGCAAATGATGCTCGAGATGGTTCAAGTTCGTATAGCAACAGGCGTGACCAGAGCGGTTTGAACGGCTGTTGTACTGCGATGTGGAAAGCAAATGGAAAAACTACCACATTATCAATTTTCCTGGATAGTCTCTTTCCAAAAACAGAGATACCATGTATGCGACCAGAAGACGAGGAAAAAGACGTAAGAAGACGCTGGATGGCCTTGGGGACAGAAGAGGATATTTTTATTTGAAGGAGAAAGCTCTAGATCGCATTAAGTGGAGGAACTGTTTTGGAAGAGACTGTGGACCTGTCGTATGACAGATTACTGATGAAAAAATTACTATATATCCAACTTGGTTTGTGTTTCCAGCACATGTGACAGTGCAAATAAGGAACCGGGATAGCCCAGTGAGTACAGGGACATTCCGCAGACTGCTTCGTCGGCGTTCAATTGTTTCGAGATTTTTCCTTAGTCCACAGCTTCCAGACCGGCTCTGGAGTCCACCAAGTTTCTGTCCAATGGGAACCGGGGGGGGGGGGCTTTGCGCGGGGTTAAAGCGGCCGGGGCATAAAACTGACAACTTATCTCCAGTTAGTGCACAATGAGGCTCTATAACGTCAAGCAAAAGGGTCATAAGTGAATAATGAACTGTAAAGGGTTTGGAAGGAAGATCGAAACTTGATTTTGACGTATTGTCCGTCCCCCATTACTCTGATGAGACAGAAAACCCACGAAAAGCCTGCCAGGTTCGTCAGTCTTCATGGATCTCCCAGCAGCAGGACAGTCATGAATTCCAACACGCTGGGCTATATGAATGCATTTGCATACGTTGATGAAGAAGTCCGTCATATTCTCATATGTTTCAGAAACGTATGTGAGCTGCTGTGAATTTCAGCAAAATTAATACTTACATGTAGCGTGCACAGCCCAAAGAAGGCGATGTATATTTTGACAGCCATTTTGTGCCGATGTTCCTCTTCCGGTGCAACTTGAGATGTGTGTGTTGTAGGGTTTCTCGCAAATTTATATACAAATCAAGTTCAGGTGGGTGTCGCGAAATGTCATGAACCTTCATGTATTGTCTCAGGATCTGCAAACAAACAGTGTGCCCGTGTGCGTGTGAAAACAGTGCAACAGGAAACACTCCGGTAGCTGATCAAATAACGAACATGAATTAGCGATCTTCACAGATGAGCGGTCTCATAATGTCACATTCCGTGTCTTCCCATTCGTCCTCTGATGAAATCGGAAATGTTATGTTTGAAGAGCGATCTTTGTCACATAACGGTAGGTTGAACTGACTGGATACCGAGGAAGTGGGCTGAAACAGTAACGATTCTTTCGTATATTCGGAGGGTTCCCGCTTCTGAGAATTTTTGTGGCTTTCCTTTGCCCCCCCAGGCACATGCATAGGTAATAGCTTAAATCTGTCCAGAACTTACTTCAGGAGCCGGTACAGCGACGGGATACAGCCCTGGTCTCGAAGTACGTGTATTTCCACCATTCTTGAGCTCTGAACTAAATGTAGGTGAATGGTCAGTTTAACGCCCCGACCGCTTTAACCACGAGAAAAGAGCTTCCGGTACCGATTGGATAGGAGGCTGGATGGGCCCCGGAGACAATCTTGACACTGTGGAGTAGAGAAAAATCTGTTATCCCTACCGGGAAGCGGACCCCACATGTACAGCCCCGTAACCTATCGTCATGTCGACTGAACTCTCCCTGCTTCCCGGAGTGTGAAATAATGGGACCTGCTATATACTGCAGAATGTAGACTCGTAGCTAAATAATTACTCTGTAAACAACGCCCGATGCTAGGTAACAGATTCCTAACATGCACCAAAGGACTAACTGGGAAGCAGTGTTCCCTAGGCAGTTCGTGGAACAGCTGCGTCACGTAACACTAGAATAAATTTTGGAAGCGGTGTTTTCTATGCGTTCCGTGCCGATGTGTTATAAACAGGACAGGTCTAGAATTTAGTTAGTTGTGAGAGAGTCGCCGGCCAGTAAGGGCATGAATACGGAAACTGAGGAAGTTACGGTGTTGGAAGCCGTTACCAGACAACTACTGGTGAAGATTCAGCAGACTGAGAAGACTTAATGCGTGTTGTAATGAACTGCAGAGTGTGTGAATTAGCAATAGCACTACAGTTACCCTCTGTAGGAGTTCAGTAAATTCAATTACCAATTCAGACCCCTTCTATATTCACTCATACATGTGACAATACAAATTTATTGGCCCTAAAGGCTGTCAAACAGTGCCCGGTCGTCGTTATCGTAAAGATATTTTGTAGGTAAGGTAAGGCCTTGGGAATTGAGAAAGGTAAAGTGAAGGGAAGTGGACTGCTTTACGTTATGGTCACAGGAAAGATGATGAGCAGGGATGAAGGCTGAAGTTTGTCTAAATAATATCAAACATTTCCGTTCTTATATCTCAGAAATATGGCGCATTCCGCAGAGCACAGGGCTTATGCTGTGGAGGGAATGACGCGAAACGCATGAACACTCTGTTGAGAGACTGGCTGAGCCCTGTCGCAGACTGGGCAGGATCAGTGACGTAGTGGGGATCTTGCTGATTGAAGGACCCCGTTTGCACGCGCCGCGCGTCATGCGGCAGTCTTGATACAGCATACTTGCTCACGAACTGTTAAACCACAGTCAGGGGTGTCATCACAGATGCAGCACAAGTAAACACAAAATAATATATGCAATAAATCATGCAATTTATCACATGTATGAGAAAAGGTCAGCTATATATATCATTACTTGTCATATTCCCATCCAAAACACGCAAGTAAACAGACAGGACTAGTTGTATATGTCAAAGTATTAACCACAATTATCAAACAAGGCGAGACACCACTCATTTGTGTGTGGGGAGGGGGGATTTTAGGGTGGTGTTAAGGGTTAGACGTCACAGCGTCGAATGTTAGGATAGTAGATGAATGATGAACCGGAAGGGGTTTAAAGCGAAATGATCATGACCTAATCCAGGTACCACGCCGGCATTTGCCTGGAGGGACTTTGGAAATCACGAAATGTCACAATCAGTCAGATCTCCCTTTCCAAGATTCGATCTAAGCATTTTCCGAATGTTTCTAGTAGGGCTTTATCCGTACACCAAACTGCACGCTACAGCACACGTCTTCTGTCTCTCTTGCTTCCTTTTGTTTTTACTTCATAATTTGTCTCTTTCTTCCTCATTCTGGTCCTTCGTCTCTTAAGGCGCGTCCGCATTACTCGTGCTCGTGCTCGCCAGGCTTCGGCGCGTGAGGATCCGTATATTTACTCGTAGTGTGTATAGGCTGTAGTCGTATTTTAATTTGCTGGCTATAGTTTTTAAATTAAAAATTAAAAATTTGCTTGTCTCATGACTCATATCGTCCACATTACTCGCGAGCATAGCGAGTCACACGAGCACGAGCACGAGTAATGTGGACGCGCCTGTAAGGACAAGAAGTAGCCTTATGAGGTTTTCCAAGTTGTTAACCAGTTGTCCGATTTCAGGAAACCCGGTGTGAATATCATGCCACCGGTGGTCGCCGCATCTGGATGCGAACTCTGGAGTGTGTCACGTGAGAGCGACGCTAGCGTGCCTTAGAGCGCCCAAATGATGTATGATAATATATCTTAGCAGAACACTCAGCATCTGTTAAATTAATTTGGGGGGTGGGGGGCGGAATGTAACTTAGTAACATGTAAGTAAGTAAGTAAAATAAAGCTATCCCTGTAACAGGCCGTGAAGTCCCATAGGGTTATGAGACGTTGAGGGTCCCACATTATCTAGACAACCGGCTCAAAGATGGCGGTGAGGTTGTTAGCCTTACGCGCCGGCCGCCCTTTACCCCCAGGAAAATTATTTAATTAATGCTTGGTACTCATTTCTGTTAGAGGCTGAGTCGACCCCAGGGCCATAGTGCGGCTGGAAGGATTAGGTCAATTGAAAAAATCCAATGACCTCATCGGGACTTGAACACGCGACCTTCCGGCTTGTAGCATAGCCCCGTGCCACAGAATTGATAAGTAACATGGCGGTCACAAATTTTGGGGCAGGGCTTTAGTTTCGATGGCGACAAACACGAACCATTGAAGCTAGACGTGTGAAACTTGGTATGTGCATTGAAAGAAAAAAGCTTAACCCATACACTATATTTTAAGGTTCCAAATTTTTCCGTCGGTAGTTGTGACGTGTCGTGTCGTTCAGGATATAGCACCATGTTGACTTTCACCTGACTACATGGCGTTTTGCCCCAGAACATACAATTCTTCGTATGAAGCATTCTTCGTAAGGCAGTAATTATAAACATGGCGATGATGCGAATCTTCGAGTTTCTATCCGAAAGCTTTTATATTGTAGTTTATATGCATATAACTAATAAATACTTCAAAAAGTTAATGTAATAATAATAATAATAATAATAATAATGTACTATAAATCAGTGCGACAGGAATATAGGCTTTATCAGTTATCCGCAAGGCGTAAGAGACACTTTAATTTGGGGGGGGGGGGGAAAAAGAGAAAGTAAAGTTACCCCTGTGCCTAACTAATTAGGCACTACGCCATGAAGGCGTATGGGGGAGTAGATGTATAAAGCCACATTTTTTTGACCTCGGGACTAGCTGGAGGTTAGTGGTCAGCTTCACGCCCCCGGCCGCTTTACCCCCAGGGTAAGAGCCCCCGGTATCCATTGGATAGGAGGCTGACTGGGCCCCAGAGCGTGTCTGGACGCTATGGATAAGAGAAAATTCTTGACACTACCGGGACCCGAACTCCGACTTCTCCGTCGTCCAAATCGTAATCTGGGCGTTATAGCGGCTCCTTAATTTTGGGGGGGGGGGGGGAGAAAGGGTATCTTTTGTAGAAAGGTTCGCAGTCTTCACCCTCCTCACCCTTCAGTTATCGAAGCGTATAATTTGGAAAAATAATTTTGATTGCTTTGATAGTAAAGGGGAGCTAATTCTGAGTTGTGCACGGAGCCCTTTGCCTCTTTTAATATGTTATGTGTAGGACGAAGCAATGTACTTTGTTAATCTCAGGAAATATTAGGACAGTGTTTGCTCAGCTGTCGCGCATGTGCGACTGCAAGTGAGTGCTATATAAGCCGCGACAGCCTCAGAGCGAGTCACATCTCAGCAATCCGGGGCACCAAGAACTTCATAATGGCCGTCAAATTTATTCTCGTTCTAACGGCGCTCTCTGTTGTAAGTATGATTACATTTATACTTCATAACAGTCTTGAAGCTGTGTTTTCTCCATGGAAGATATTTTAGTAAAGCGCATCTATATGTTCAGCTGAATTTGAGCAAATGTCCGAATTCTTCGTCTGTTGGAATAAGTTGCCGAACTTGGGCTATTAATTTTAAATTCTGGAGAAGTTTGGAATTTGGGCGTGAATTTGTGGGCTTGCAAATCACGTAAAAAATTCTTGAAAGCATGAACATTTGTTGACCTGCGCCGTTGTTCAGGGTTCTAAAACTATTTTTAAACTCGTAATGCTCTGAAGAATTCCGCTTTATGCTTCTGCCCTTCATATGCAGGAGGCGTAAAGTATTCTGAAAATGCTATTCTATTTCATTCACTACGCCCACTACAGTTGGATGACCCTTGTGCTGTTTTAACTTCTGTCGTATGACCATCGATTACGTAACATTTTCGACATATGTCGACAGAAGTTAAAACAGCAGAAGATTTCTATAAATTTATTAATAGACTAACATGACATATTAGTTAACCTATTGCTACATAATTGTAAGCCTTGCAAACTGTGTGTAATCCATGTAAAGATAGGTTGTACAATTGAAACACGTAACAGAACAGTGAACGATACCACAAAGGCATAAGCATAGGCGTTACTATAATTTTTACCCTGTTTTCGTTCCCGCGCTCCGTGCAACCTACACACGAACACACGGTACGCAAGGAAATGAAATTATCCTGAATTAAAGCATAAAGCTGGGCAAAGTCTCACGACAGTGTCGCCAAAACAATTTGAATGTACCTGAAGTGGATCTTTTGGGCCGAAACATGTTGTGTGCAGCAGGACAAATGGCGATGTGGCGACTGGCTACTAGCTCGACCGAGGGGTCGGGGTGGAGTCCCGGTAGGGTCAAGGATTTTCTCCCCTCAACATTGTACAGGCCGGCTCTGATGCCCAAGCAGCTTCCTATCGAATGGATACCGGGGGTCTTTCCCCGGAGGTAAAGAGGGAGGAGCGTAAAGCTGAGCACTCACCTCTGCCTAGTGTCGAGTTTAGTTCCCTATACGCCTTCATGGTATAGTACTTTATTAGTTAAGCACAGGGACAAGTTTACCTTTATTAAGAGTTTTAAAAATTAAATTTGGATTTTTAAAATTTTAGTGTAATTTGCACCGGGGACAGAAACGAATACTTGGAAAAAGGATACAGGTCAACAGGATGCTGAAAGTCAACGTTGTTATAATTTGTTTTCTGTGTGACGACTGTTGTACGTGCACAGCCATGTTGCAACTTACGGAAAATTGTTAGAGACCATCATGTGGTGACGTAGTGAAACATTGCAAACAAGATCGTTGTAATTATGGCAGAACTGTGTTCATTTCAGGCCTCGAATGCAGGCTCTACGCAGTTCGGATATGCTCCAGACGAACCAATAGGATCCCTTCAGGACCTTACAGACCACGCCAAAGATCAGATACAGCAATTGGCGACCAACTTCAAGCGCATGGAAACAAAGGCTGAGGGCGATGGAAACCAGCTGCTGCAGAACCTGAACATCCAAAGCAACGATCCGGAAGGTCTTCTGGCTCTGGTAACTGAATCTAGGCTTGCCATTGATGCAATTAAACCTGCAGACATCGACGTCTCCTCCTGCGAGGAGGGAAACAACCAGAAGTACCAGGCCATGATCCGGGAAGCTGGTGAGTGCAGCCTATGGCAGTATCGGTGTGTCTCACCACACGTCTTGAAGGTCCGTACGGGACTTACCGGTGACCATTAACGCATTCTAGACGCAGTGGGTTCGCGTGTTCGGGAAATATTCAGGTTGAGTTTCGGCCAGGATACCGGCTATTCTGACTGAGGTACTCTGTGAATTCACTGAGGCCCCCCACCCAGAAAATTGGCTGGAGAGTGTCTCGACTAGACTCCCCCGTTATTACCTAGGCCTCTCATGTTTCCATTCAACTCTGTATAAGTCGAGACGCAGCCAGTGTCGTGAAATGAATCACACATCAAATACCGTAGCGCATGCGCATGGACGTTTGCAGGGCGGGGAGCCAGAAACTTTCTTCAAGACTTAAGTTTAAATTGTATACGACTATTTTTACTGATCTCCTTAGAGTATTCGGGGCGAAAACTAAACTAAATTCCGTGGCTTGAGCCCGCAAGCGAACTATACCGACCGAGCGACCGCCGCTTGTCGGCGAAGTTAGTGCCAACTTTAGCGGATAGAGAGTGTCACGTGGTCAGCGCAATGAATCCCCACGGCCGTTAATTTCGGCTATTACAGATGAGAGCTGCTATTTCTTTGTAATAGCTTCTCAGTTAACCTCATGAGTCTGAGTGGACCAAGTTCCAAGCCCACTACTTCTCAGACAATCTGGTAGCGCCAGGAAACTAACCCAGGACCTCCGGATCTATAGCTGGGAACTCTGACAACTAGACAACGGAAAGGAGAATATAATTTTAAAATAAATTTTATTTTTTGTTATTACTATATTACGTATTTTCTCCTTCTCTTAATTTTGGATATGTACAAAAAGTTCGAGGAAGGAGGCAGGCTGCCTGCCCAACCACGCCGCCTCCCACTCTCGACAGTAGATGAAAGTGAGTGGTCAGTTTCAAGCTCCAATCTCTGCATGGCAAGAACACGAACACGGACTTCACCATCCGTTGGATGTGAGGTTATGTGGACCTCAAAGCAGGCAAGAAATTGGCGCCGAGAAGTCAGAGCTGGCCGTCCAGCCTACCAGTCACTTGACTGAGGTATTTGCCTTTAAGTCGCCCGTAAAGCGTCGTCAAACAAACCATTCTCATTCTTAAAAGCAGTATTATGTTTGACAGGGCCAGGCATCCAGAACTGTCTTCAGAATGCCTCCGTTGCGCTGCAACCATATTACCAGGCCTTGCAGCAGATGCTTCGCGTGGCCCAGGATCGCTCTAAGATCGCACTCGGCAACGTGACCACCTGTGCCAACCAGTACAAGGCAGTGAAAACCCTGTCTGCTTGTCTGAACGTTGTTGGTGCCCAGGTTTTTGAAGGGAGAGACATATTGATGGCTGCCATTTTGGGTCAGATGGCTGACTTCAAAGACAGCAGCCCCAAACTCATTGCGGACTTCGCTACTTGTACAAATAACGTGCAGGACAAGGCCATCAGTGAGTCTGTTTCCATCATCCAGGCCTCCAGAGAGTGCATACGTGCTAAGATTAAGAGCGCTGAATCAGTTACTTCAGCTTAATTTGCTGACAAGTCCCTGACTGGTCGGCATCTCATGAACTCGAACTGAGATAAAGAAAATTACAGTTACACGGTGTCTTACTCTTCCATTACCATCCTTCCCTGACTATTCCTTAAAGTTTTGAGAGACTGAGGAGTCTGGTCTCCTGGGTTCCTGACGATGTGTAGTTCAGAGAGGGCACCAAGCTTGCCGCCTGCTTCTGGTAGTTTCTTGCTTGGCTCACTCTTCTAACCTGAAGCTGGAGGCGATATATTTCCCCGAAACGTCCGGTTGCCTCCGAAATACGCAACATTACAACCTAGAAAATTATGTTAGTTCTAACGCCGAATTCTAGCCAGCATGAAGCTTAATGGCCACGTCCCCTATACACTTCCATGACGTGATGCTGCTGTGTCTGGAACATCTTTTAGGGTGCGTCATCTAATGCAGACCGTTAGAAATTATTTTTGCAAAACACGATGGGAAACAAAGTCGCCATGTCAGGGAACATGTTGAACAGACAGAAATTTTCTTATATGAGGTTTGCCTACTCAGATTTTGACGTACACTCACAGATGTTCTAAATAGACAAGCAGCATTAATTTTATCTTTGTGTTACATAAATGTACGTACGTACTTATTCATGGAGCTGAGCCCTTCTGGAGGAGTCGCCAATGGTGCAGCTACTCAAGAATTTCCCAGCATTTTATGGAACCCGAAGGTTCATTGCCGTGTTCACAAGAGCCCTCCACTGGTCCCTATCCTGATCCAGATCAATCCAATCCACACCATCCCATCCTACCTCTCTAAGATCCATCTTAACATTGTCCACCCACCTACGCCTTGATCTTCCCAGTGGTCTCTTTCCTTCTGGCTTTCCCACCAATGTCCTATACGCATTGCTCGTCGCCCCCATTCCTAGTACATGCCCTGCCCACCTCATCCTCCTTGACTTGATCATTCTAATTATATTTGGAGAAGAGTACAAGTTACGAAGCTCATGTTACATAAATGTAACCAAATTTTTAAGTCTCCTGATCTCCTTGCAAACTGGGGTCCCTTACGCATGTGTTCGTAACCCTGAGGACCGCTCTTTCAGGTCACTCCGTACGCCTTTCTGCCTCTGTGTGCGCTCAGGAATAGCTAAGCGGACTGTCATCAAATTCGATATTTAAGAGAGTTACAAAATTTTGTTGATATATTTAAATTTCAGTTAGAGTCTAGTAACAGTAACGGACAACACAAAACAGGAATAAAGTTAAGTGAGGTTTACATTTCCTGGGAATTCAGAATATTGACACCATGTCACTAACAGAAGGATAGGTAGGTTCCGCCTGGTCGTGACCATTCCATTGTCTATCGATCGTAAAGAAGGAGAAGTAAAGGCGCTCAGTAAATTTCAAAACATGTACGGGATCATAACATTTGCTCGGAGAAACTGAGGAAAACAACGAAAAACTTCAGTCAAAGTGGTAAGCGTCCCGTCCGAGATTCGAATCGAGAACGCTGTGAATACAAACGTAGAGTGTCACCGTTGGACCATCCTGTTCGTTATGGAACCGGTAACACATTCGATGTTTATTAAAGGCCATGCTGTTTTAGTATTGGAAGCCTGGACACTTACGGAAACCTAGCAGAGCAAATTGAATTCGAAGTGTACACGTAATCGCAACAGCGCTCACACATCGCAAACCAACCATGTGCTACTGTAGTTACGGCAGTACGATACCGATCAAAGTAGCAGATGCGGAGCCATCTAGCGGTGAATATGCTGTAACTACCTACATAGTCAACCAGTTTGAACAAACGATGGCGCTCATATGCAATCATTTTGCTTCTTGCTGCTGGAATGTGCTACAGAAGGCCGGATCGGCATTGCCAAGGCCCTTTTTGTATTTACAATATTTTTTCTACAATAAACAACATCTTGCTGCAGCTATGCTAAATATAATTACACATCGAATTTGTCCATAAATGAGTGATAAATAAGAACGGGATTTTGTTTCACAGAGATGGGAAGTAAAAAAAAATTACTTTTACGTAAAAAAAAAAAGATATAGGGATATTATTATCGTGCAAAAATTTGTCTCACATATTTTAAAACGCGTTCCTTCTCTCAGGTCACTGGTTCCGATACAATGCTGTGAATGAAAAATTTCGGAATCTGACAGTTCTTGACTACCAGTACAAACGTCATGATAAAGCGAGTAGCAGTCCAGCTTCGTATTAGCTAGCTCTAGGGTTCAAGTCTCGACTGGCTGCCCTGGCGTTTTCCTTAGTCCTTCCACGCAAATGAAAATTAGACCACGAATGGTTCCTTCCACATGCTTTCCAATTCATATTCACATATCATCCTACAATTCAATACTGTACGGTCCATGTTAATGACAGCGTCGATGAGTACAACATAAATAAATATACAAAATAAGTGGCCAATATTAAAATGTCCTTTACATTAATTAATTTCAAAACACACGAGAAGTTTCCAGATTTTGTTATATTTTATTTAACAAATAAAAGTGGTGATAAAAAATCAGCGTAGCACTGTTGAGTCTTCAGACTTCTGTTAACTTTTATTCCGTCTGAGATGGGGAGTTGCACTGAAATGTCCCGCGATTGATTTATCTACGCCATGCTCCTCCTTCCAGCCATCAGTCTACTTCACGGAGGTCTAACCTATAGAACGCCAGTCTCGCCACCAGATTGCACAGCACATCACAGACAGCACATACCACACTGCAGTTATAGTTTCAATATTATTATTTTTTGTCATATCCTACAGAAATATTAAGTATATGTTACAATTCATGGTAGAATTTCGTTTGTTTTCTATCCTCATGACCCAGCCCAGGCAGCCATGATGGCTGTCATTAGGCTGGTTTACGATGACGTAAATCATCATGAGGCGCCATGAGCTGCACTTCGTCGGAAGGTTTCTTACTCCATATAATATGAACTTTATTTGTAAGAAAATCAGATCTTTTACGTTGTAGTAATCTTAAATGATGGTTCGTTTGACACTCATATACTTTGTATATATTAATTCGTAATTTACAACGTTATAAATGCGAAATGACCTTGGAAGTAGCTCCTCTAGTGGGCGGAGATTACGGACTGAGACTGACACAAAGGCTGTTACGGAAGGGCTTGTGTGTGGACACATCGTATAACGAGGACTACACTTGTTTTATTACAGTTACGCTTTCATAAAGGTATTTATACAATAAGGGAATTGCATATCCAATCATAGAACTGTGTATTTTTGCTACAGTTATGTTAAAGCAGTGAGTTGAGCTTTGTGGCGGGTGTCTGCGCTGTGGATCCTCATGCCCAGGGAGGTGGCGCTCTCATGACTGGCAGCGTTCAGCGAGAAAACAGACGCGCAAACTCGTATTCTCATTGGCTGCTTTTCAAAGCCTCACTTCCCTAAATGGCACTTGGACTGAAGGTTTTATGGCGTTCGGACTTTGAGTGGCACACTGTCGAGACCCTCCTCCCCAAATCGTGCCCCCTGCCTGCCTGTCAAAACTATTGTGCCCCAACTCTATATTTTATTAGTGTCCTAAACTGAGTGAGTCGCAGGACGCATGTGGTACTGCTGTATGTGGTGATCGGATCGTGGTGTTGTATGGTGACGGTAAATGTTCATATCGGAAGGCAACAATACAACGTACTTGGTGCTTTAGTTCAGCTGGTGTCAGTGGTGCTTCTGCAGCGGTTCTAAGTGCGCGTCTGTTGTTAGTGTTGCAGCTGCTGGTATTATTATGGACGAACAGAGTCGCATGATGCACCCAGTTACCTCTCAAGTTGGAATGATGCCCCAAGGGTATGGGATGCAACCTGTGGATCCGAACCACGGGGGCCCCACAACCCCTGATCAGGAAACCAGAAAGCAAGATATTGGGGAGATCCTTCAACAGATCATGAACATCACGGATCAGTCATTGGACGAGGCCCAAGCGAGGTAAATACTATATTCACATTATCTTTACCGTTTATGTCACAAGTTTTAGCAGGATATATTCAAGTAGTTAACGTCTCTTACATTTTAAATTACGTAATTTCATGTAGGATTTTGAGTCTCTCATAGCGGTGGTTGTGAACTTCTGGGATATAACGCCGTGTAGTCCGTTAAAAATTAAACGACGTTTCGGAGGAACATGTCGTCTCCATCATAAGCTTTTTGTGTACCACCCGCTTCATGCTGGTGTCTTGCTTGATTTATTTTTCTACGCTGAAGATGGAAGCGACAAGATCCACGGAAACTTTGGTTGTTTTTCGGCGGATTACAGGTCGTTATATACCAAAAAAAACAAAATACATAATTTAAGATCAGTGTATGTCTTAATAGCGTTACCTAAATCAGTGTTAGAAGACATAAGTGCTCTTTCGGAATTCTCTTTAAATTTAATCAGGGCACACTGTTTCATAAACTTGTTACTGCTGTTGACTGGACAGGTTTAACCTCAAAATGTATTTTTCATGCGCGCGAAACTTACATATAATGTAATGTAATGCCATGGTAAATGAGCCGGATCCGCATTCCAGTGGAAGTGTCCAAGTTGGAATTTAAAAATAAGTCGAAAATAAAATAGAATTTGGGACACTTCAACGTTTCTCTGCGGGTGTGTTTAAACTAGTGTTTGTTGTTCCTTTCCATTTTGAAACGTTGTTTGAAAAAGTTTCGCAATCATTCACATTGTTGAGCAGTCTTGCCTGTTTTTAAGTAAAATATAAACGCAAACTGCCATTACACAGCAGTACTAGAATTGTGCAATAAAGAACAGTAATTTTACAGTAGTATGGACCGGCAGCAGCAACATAGTAATAATTAATTTTTTTATTATTTATGTGCTGAGCCAACAGCTACAAGGCCAATTACAGACACAGCACAGTGTAGATGAAAGTAGTTACATACTGGACAAACACAACGTAAAGTCAAAGACCAATTAAAGGTAAACATTGGAAGAAAAACATATTAATGTATACGAGGAAACAAAGTAATGATGATGATGATGCCAATAATTTCATTATCACAAATTTAAGTTGCTATTGACAATTGAGAAATGTAAAGTATAGATATTTAGAAGGAATAATTCAATTCAGTTCGTATTTATTTATGTGCAAACTTAACAGCACGGAGTCCAATTGCAAAGTTAGCAGGAGTACACAGAAATACAAAGAGCAAAATGTGACAGCAATAAATTAATAATAATAATAATTCTGTTCAGTTATTATTTGCGTGCTAACTCAGAAGCCCAAGGGCCAGTTGCAAAGTGAGCAGAGCGAAAGAAACACACACACACACACACAGTACAAAACCAGGCATTTTGTAATATCTGAGTAATGCTGGTAATAAAATAGTAATAATGACGAAAATCAAAATTGTAATTTAGGTGGTGGTGGAGGCGCTGACCACGTAGCGAACACAAAAGGGAAACTGAAGATTTCTTTCATCTAGGATGTGACGCTGTGTGGTCTGGTAGAAGGTTATCGACATTGCGGAGGGATTTGTTGGCCACACGTCGCCACTTCCAAAACGACGGCTGTCTTCATAGGCCTAGTCACAGGCGTTAGAACCTCAGAAATTCGTTGTTTCGTTTGTTACTTATTTGTCTATTTTTGGACTATTTAGCTCAGTCTGTATTCCATCGAATTTGTTCAAGTATTAAACTTATGTGTAGAGATTGATGTGTGAAATTACCCTGTTTGGCTGTTTGCAGTAACAAAATACTATCTAATTGTGTCTCTGGTCCTTGTACAGGAAACACACACTCAACTGCCATCGCATGAAGCCAGCCCTCTTCAGCGTGCTGTGTGAAATCAAGGAAAAAACAGGTAAGGCACATGACATCGGTGTAGAGCTCCACAGTTAATTTCTTAAGCTACAGCCTTTGTCTTTTTGCCTCATTTGTCCCACATCAGTAAACACAGTACGCCATAAAATAAGTGTTTGTTCAGTGATAACGTTTTTAATCTTCGACTGAATGTGACTAGGAGTCAGGAAACGTAACTCGTGAGTTAGGTAACTTGTTTCTCAGGAAATTTTCCTCCGTGGCCGTTTTTTTATTTCTGCAGAATATGTTAAGTCATTTCAATGTAATCATATTTGATAGAAATACTGAGGTTGGTGATGTAGTTGTCTGGCTACTTTTTGTGTTGTTTTACTGTATTTCTGAAATTATTCTGCATCTAATGAAACGTGGTAGAACAAACTGGCCCTGGCCTGTTTCACTACTGGGGTACTGTTGGCATTTGATTGCATATACAGTTTAAGCAAATGGCTCTCTCACCTGGGTCTTTCAAAAAATGTACGCGCGTTCTAAGGTTAGATAATATTTACCGTGGACCAAACCACATGGTTTTACTCACTATATTTTCGCTGTTCATTTGGCCAGTTTATTCATTTCAATGCACCTCGGTTTTGGCCGAAACATCGGCTATCCTGAGAGAGTTTTTTTTCGTAGTTTTCCTCAGTCCCTTCAGGTAAATGCAGTGATTATACCTCGATAAGGCTCGAACGTCTACCGGGAGCATCTTTTTTCCAATTAAAATGATACACGCCTATATTTTAGAAATAACCTCTCCAGTTGCTACGCAAACGTTAAAAGAGTTTTTCGGCCTTATCATTGTGGTAGACGGAACGGAGTTTTATGTTACGTTTTTGTCACGAAAGCAAAACGATGCTTGCCATGAAACGAAGCCGAAGTTTTGAGTAAGGAAGGAAAAGCTGCAGTGCCAGCTTCGGTCCGCTCTGGCCTCGGAGCCCGGACTCACCGTGTAGGGCTTCCGCCACCGCCTGCGTGGCGTGTTGTCCTGCCCTCACGGCTGCAACATTGGCGGTTAACACGGAGAGTGACATTTAGACCAGTCTAACTTCTGGTCATCCAACCTTCACGTCGTACAGCATAAGTTTATGCCTTAGAATTAGTTAAATTGCGTTATTGCATATTCTTGAGAATTGTTACGTAATTTATGTCAGACCAAAATTCCACATAATTATTTACACTTTTATAAGTTCTGTTGTCTCTTGTCGAATGCTGTCTGTCGAAAATAAATAGCCCAAATTGTGTTGTTCGGAAACTTTTGCAAGGACTTTTTCATTTGTGTTTGATTACACAGCTGTTTGACAATTCTCAGAAAGAACGTTAAAAAAATAAAACAAAATCAGCTGCAGTGCAATATCATTACTTACGAAAACATGTTCTAGGTTTTACAAAAGAAAATAATAACAAAATGTAAAAGGTAAAAAGGTAAAACTATCCCTGTAACAGGCCGTGCACGATCCTACGTTTTCTTAACTCTCAGCTCACAGATGGCGGTAAGGTTGTCAGCCTCACGCGCCGGACACCCNCCCCGTGGAAGATTCCTGGTACTCATTTCTGTTAGAGGTTGAGCTGACACCAGGACCACAGTGCGGCCGGAAGGATTAGGGCAACTGAAAAATCCAATGACCACATCGAGAATCGAAGACGCAGCCTTACGGCTTGTAGCATAGTGCCTCAACCAACTACACTACCGCGTGCACCCAATAACAAAATGAAGGAGAAAACAAATGTAATCGATAACAGCAGCAATCACAGAGCCATGACTGAGAATTGTATTAATAGACGACTGAAAGCCCGTTCAGGAGGAAAGTGATTAACATGAGCAGAAAATAAACCATCGAATAAGCATTTTCGAAAAGAGATTAAAGATATTCAGAAAGTATGTAAATCATTGGAACTCACAAAAATAAATCAAAACTGCCCAACGATTTCACGAAACAATTTATCATTTTTCATACTTCTGTCATAACATTAGCTACTGGCTACTGGCTGAACGACCAAGGGTCCGGAGTTCCAGTCCCGGTAGGGTCAAGAATTTTTACTTCTCATGTCGTTCAGACCTGCTCTCTGGTCCACCCATCCACCTATCCAGTGGGTACAAGGGGCTTTTTCTCCGGGGTTAAAGCGGTCGGGCGTGAAGTTGCCACTCACCTCCAACCAGTGCCGAGGTCAAGAAAATGTGAGTCTACACATCCACCCCTCCATACGCCTTCATGGCATAGTGTTTAATTAGTTACATACAGGGACAACTTTACCTTTACCTGCCATAGCATTTTAATAAAAAGAAAGAACACCGTCTGTTTTGACATTTTTCAGATCTGGGCACAAGAAAGGGCCCATTTTTATACCCCTGGCAGACTTGTATAATTCATTGACCCGTTGCTTGTAAGGTATCTGTTTTCTTGTGATTTTTTCTTTCTGTTATAAATGGTATTTATGGGAAACAGTTATAATCGTTAGAAAAATTGATATGTGGATTTTTACTGGTTTGCATGTCCCCCCCCCCGCTACAAGAATAAGAATAATTGGTTTTTGAAATGCCGCCTGTCTTCACTATGTGTGTGTATATATACTTATGTGTGTGTGTGTGTGTGTGTGTGTGCGTGTGCGCGCGCGCGCCTCGCTAGCACCTGAACAGTTGGACGGATTTTGTTCCAACTCGGTATTGAAGAGCTTGTCTATCACAGGTCGGTTTCCAGTGAACATGAACGTTCCAGTTCCAAAAACAGGGTTCCCAAAACACAAAATGTCTGTTTTCTCAAAAGGGCTCAAACGATTTTGATTAAGTTTCAGTAATTTAGATCATCTTCCTCTGTAATTCTGCATGGGTGATGTCAGAAGAGAAGGCGGTTGGCACACTACGTGCCAAAACTTGCTTTGTTGGTGAGACGAATTTTATTTTTGTTCGGTATTCAGCAACCAACAGTGGTGTGCCGAGCGAGAACCGATTAAGTTTTTAAGGTAATGTACTCAAGGTCAGCCGTATGTGAGAACGTATGTTCGGCGTGTTTGCGGCGATTTCTGCTTGTTTTGTAGCACATGTTTTCGCCCTGTGTTGGTGACTCTGCACAAACATGGGGCTTAAGTGACTGTCTCGCAGCGTTTGTTTCATCTTCGTTCCCGTTAAAAAAATATTACGTAAATGTTTGTATTGATGGAAAACCTATCGTTCTTCATCAAAAATGTTTATGTCAGAACTGTACCGGGTATTATCCCCTTTTAAGACTGCTAAATCGCTGCTGGCCCTCGCCAGCACAGTGATTCTTGATTCCGAACCCCACGGGACCCATTACCAAAGTTTACTGTCTCTCGGCTCTGGGAGCCTTAAGAATCTCAGTTCCTCTTAAAAGACTCAGTATTTTCTAAATAATATATATAACAATTCAGTCCGTACCCCAGAATAAACACATTACATGACCTATACAAAGCCCAACCGGTTACTGCTGTTCAGGAAAACAGTCGCTGTTTATTGTGAGGACCATATGAAATACGCAAAACACCGTGGGCAGAATGCAGAGTTCTAGTGTGTTAAAGCGGTTGGTACGTGCGACGCTCGCTCTAGGTAATGCTGAAGGCGGTGTGTTCGCCTCAGACCTCGGTCTCTCTCCGTTCTACATGGTATTGGAAGCCTCTTTACAGTCAAACCCACTCGCAAACGAATTTGTTTGTTCGAGAGCCCATCTCATATTTCCCTGTAACATTTCTACCCGTGCTTGTATTTTGTTTTTTAATGTAGGTAACCAACCTGGCGTGTGTGTTCAACATTTCAAAGTTCAAAAGCCGGTCTGGATGCGGTGAAAAATTCCTGCCTTTGCCGAGAATCAAACTGCGATCATCTAGTTCATAGTTAATAATGTTACTGACAGAGTTGTTCCTTTCAAGAATTACTGTTTTTTTGGACTTTGATCCATTGTCCGGTATTCTAGAAACTAGGAAACAGCGTTTCGGAAACTGTATCTGTTTGCGTCCTTAGGTAAGGGGGGGGGGAGACACCTACTCAGTTGGGTCCCTTAAAAAGAGTTAGTCAGTCACTGGACAACCCCTGTCAGATTCACACAGCTATTTAATCGCCTGAGACGAGACTCATTCGGCGGGAGATAACAAGAAAATATACAGTAAAAGTTGTGATAAAGCACGCACATGCGCGGAACTAGAAAGAAAGTGAAGTACAAATTTATGCTGAAACAGGTCCAGTTTGCGAAACGTTTTTCCTAGTTTCTAGAATATCAGACGATGGACAAATTCCAAAAAGCCAGTAATTGTGAATATACGCCATCGTCAGAACCCTTCAGAATCCACTTGTCCTTTTCCTTTATGAAAGAGTAACGAGAAATGCTGGGCCGCGCCATAGCTCAAGCGGTTAGTCGCTGGCTTCCCACCCCGGCGGCCCGGGCTCGATCCCGGGTCTGGTCAAGTGGGATTTGTGGTGGACAAATTGGGCGTGGGGCAGGTTTTCTCCGAGTACCTCGGTTTACCCTGCCAATCTTCATTCCGCCAATTGCTCCACAATCACCCTCACCTATCATCTGGGGCTGGTACAATAGGCTAGAAGTGGCCGCAGTACAAGGGACTTAGTCCCACGCCACTAGCATTAAAAAAAATGCTGCAGTAACGCGAACAGTTTGTTCGCTGTGCAATTGTTGTTGTTTCTTCTGTGCTTTATTTCGCGGCCCTGCCCGTAGCAAAAGGCCGTATTTCGTTTGTCGGTAGGACCATTGCTGAATGATGAATTGGTACCATATTTACTTAGAGGGAGTGAGGAAGCCTACGAAGAACATCGGTCAAGATAGCTGGTGTGTCGACAGAGAGTCAAACCGAACACCAAACGGAACTAGAGTGTTGCTCTATGCCAAGTGTAGACCTTCTAGAGGTTAAAGTATGGTAAAGAAAACGGGAGGGGGGGGGGATGCAACTGGATCTGTATTTTGTACGTAAAAATTCCGAACAACAGCGTTTGGCTTAATATTTACATTTCGGGTCATAAAAGACTGCCTCTAAACAAAACAAATA